TGACAATAGCAGGAAATGGGCCAGGCAGGGTTTGGACCTTAATGCCGGACCTGGAGCTGTAGAGACCGAAGGGGCAGAAGATTCTATACCATCCAGGCAACTTTCCATTCTTGGCTCACAAGCAGCACTAACCGAAGAAAATTCAAGGTTATACCCAATTCCTGGAGGTTATCTGAAGAGAAAGGATCCTGATGGAGGGTGGGATAATGATAGCTTCAGGTACAAGCCGGCTTCATGGCAATAGAGTGCATTAAGAAAGAAAGTGCTGCGGTAAGTTATATTTATCTTTCACTGTACATTGTCTTTTTGTGTTATATGTATCCAAATATTAGATGGTTAGTTATGATTGTCTTATGCAAATTTTAGATGTTTGTCACTAGTATGTCCTGCAACTGATGACGTTTAACAATTATGATGATTCTGTCATACACACACTACCAATAGTTGCTGATATTTTGTCTCATGTCGCTTACCCGCTATTATAAATCTCAGACAAACCTTTCCCTCTACATGTCTTACGTTTATTGTTATTGTTCACAGAGCTCCTTTATGCTCAGAACAACTTTCACAAGTGTGCACTTCTTCCAAGTGACGTGGCTTTGTCAAAGGTTTTGTTTTTGCATTGTCGGGCACTTGTTCTAAGCTGTATATATAAATAAATAACTATATGGCCGTTTCACTGGGTCTGCTTACTTCCCCTTTTATTGGTTCTTCAAGGGGTGGGGCGTTGACAATCTCCTGAAAGCTGCTGCATCTTGCAGTTTTTCTTGACAGTAGGTGGGAAGCTATTGAGCACATTGTGCAATCCCCAACTGTATTCCGATGGCCCTCGGAGTATGGAATCGGGATTTGCAAGCACACTTCCCTTTGTTGGATGGGTGCAGAACTGCTGATCAGTTTTCCCTCTGTATATACGCAAGGGCATGTCTGGACCCCGGAAAATGCTAGAGAAGGGAAAACAATGGTAAGGGAAGTCATTTTCTCAAGTTCAGTTTTAACTTTGGAAAGGAAAATGAAATATAGTGTACTCAGATTTCCCACATCTTCTGTATGATATTTTCCTATTTTCTTTCACTAGTATTTTCCGGGTTATAAACATGATTCCTAACTGTCGGGAGCTTGCAATTTCTGTAATGGTTCTGTTCCCACACGCCCGTGGAATTCTACTCTATTATCACAGGTCACAACATAATTGCTACTGTAAGTAAAGAAATTCATTTGTCCGCTAGTGCCTAGGCAGGATTTAAGCGAGATTCTAAAATTAAATGTAAATTGCTCAAGTTATTTAAAAACTCCAATGCAATTGTAATACTTTGTTGGCATTGCATTGTGACAATCAGTGATTGTCACATATTCTTATTATTCCTCCCTCGGTTTTCATATAAATATTCGTGTTTTAGGTTATGGGGTTTTACCAAGAATAAAGTTAGCGTTGACTATATACTCCCTCTGTTCCCAAAAATACTTCTCACTTTCCTTTTTGGGCTTTTCCCAAAAATACTTCCCACTTTCCCATTTTGGAAAATTTGTGTGGCTCACATTCATTTTAGGGACGGAGGGAGTAATATTTAAAGTAGTATTAATAATTAAAATTGCCTATTTTGTAATTGTATTGAGCGATTTACTCACATTTATTGATATACTACGTACTTAAAATACATGCGTTTAGAAAATTTGTCATGGGTCGTGGCTTGGTCAGCCTCCCACCTCTGCCCCTAGTTTCATTGTTACAATTGTGAGCTAATATCACTAATCATCTATCCAATTACAATATAAGAGCCTACATGAATTAGAAGGTACTCCGTCCCCCCATCCCTTGAAACTTTCACATCTAAAAACTTTTAACTCCATAGTTTCAAATAATATGCTTTCCAACTAACTCCAGATATATGCTCTTTATATATACAATGAAGTTAACCATGAATAAAACAACCATATCAAGGATATGAAAACCATTGCATTAAACTTTTCCTGAAATTTGTTGAAAATATAGATCAAGTGAAATATCATGATAAAAAGGACAGAGCTTTGAAAGAGTTAAAAGTATGAAAAGAGTGTCTTGTGAAAATTTTTACAAACACATACCACAATCAATTCGGTTAAAATTTAATAGCTAATACTTGAACATTGCACTTACGTTAAAATGTGTTATACTCTGAAATTTAATTTGACTTTTTTATAGAATTAACAATTACGGAGTACTACGGTATATTTAAAATTTGTAGGCTTAAAACTTTACCTGACAAGTAGGCTTATTTGGCTTTTGTCTGAGTAAGGTCAAAACACAAGGTAATTTCATCATTTAAGCAACAATCAGGTAATGCAATGCCACGATAGTTCAGAGTTTTTGTCACTTTTAGTCCCTCGACTATTGTGTCAGTGACACTTTTGGTACTCGACTTTTAATTTTTCCACTTTTAGTCCTCGACTATTGTGCGAGAGACACTTTTGGTATCAGTCTTTGAAAATTTCCGTATTTAGTCCTTCGACTTTTGTAGAAGTGACACATTTGGTCCTTCAACTATTGCTATAGAGACATTTTTAGTCCTCCACTTATTGTGTCAAAATCATAGTAGAAGGACTAAAAGTGTCAATTTGATAATACTCAAAGGACTAAATGTGGGAAACTTGAAAGTAGAGGACTAAAAGTGTCTCACGAACAATAGTCGATGACTAAAAATGGAAAAATTAAAAGTCGTGTACCAAAAGTGTCACTGACACAATACTCGGGGGACCAAAAGTGACAAAAATTCCGATAGTTCATCATTTGTCAGATTAAGTAGCCAATAACCACAATTTGTGATGTGAAATGTCCAAACACAAATGATATACACATATGTAAGGAATAAGAAACTTCCTTTAAGGAGAGTCCTGAAATACATGCGCATGGAGATCTAGAAACATGGCGTCCAAGGAGTTAACCTCCTCTCCTTCCTTTGAATCTGAAAACTCATCGCACTGGGATCCATACCACTTCCAGAGCTTCCAACCTGGATCTGTTTACGATGATGTGGTCCACCCACATGCCCGGTCAGATTCTTCATCATCATCGGTGTGTTCGACGGGAACATCTTTAGAACCGATGACCGAATCTTTTTTGAAACTACAAAGGCTAGGGTTTGTTACATGTGGATGGCCATCGGAAAGGGGTAGCCGTTTGGAAGGGGTGAGGTTAGTGGAGGATTCCATGCGTAGAAACCAGAAGAAGAGGGACAAACGTTCTAGAGAGAGAAGACGAGTGGGAAAAGTAAGTGGGGTGAGTAAATGAGGTGTTCGGATAAAGTGGGAAAAGTAAGTGGGGAGAGTAAACAGGTTGTTCAAATTATGTGAGGAAAGGAGGGTAATTGGGAAGGGTATATTAGGCATTTCATTTGAATATTGTTTCCATTTAAGGAAATGGTAACTTGTTTCTGGGACAGCCAAAAAGGAAAACGGAAACTTTTCTACGGGACGGAGGGAATATTTAATTTGGATTTTGCAATTTTCTAGATATTTTCACTTAGTTTCTGAATATGACGTTTTTTATCATTATTTTTTGGAAAAATGACAATTATATTATTAAAAATCGAATTAATTAAAGATCCATACAAATGGAATAAAATCAAATGGTAAGAGTACATGTGTCAGAATGCACCAGAACATCGCAAAACTATACATCCTCTCCTCATCAAAGCAGTCAAATTTGAAGATGAGGATCTTCCATCTTCTTCATAAAGTAAGCGAATGAAAGATGAGTAAATAAATGAGAGGCAAAACAATTGATCATCGCATTAAACCTAACATTAAGCAATAAGCACTGCGTCTTAACTCTCACATACTCCATTTGGGTAAAAAAGTGAGCGTACAATTAATCAAGCTAAGAGAACAATTTAATAATGCTATGATTTACACCAACACTTTTTTTTATACCATTTATACCCTTATCTTCATTGGTGCTTATAAGATGTTTATTATATATTTTGTCCTTTAGATAGATTAGCGCAATTAGCGCAATGATTTCAATTATTTATGCATGTTGAATTGGTTAACAATCTTAGTCTAATGAGTTTGTTAAAGATGGTTATTTTATCCTTTTTCAGATACTTCTCTTTCTATAAGTTTTGTATCTACTATATACATTGATGATTTAATTTAGTATTCTGTTGGTGCAAAATTAGAGAACTCAAATAATAATTGGGTTAAAATGTTACATATGGTTAGAGCTGGGATGAATTGTCAAATACTCCGTATGATTAAATAAATTACAGTAAATATCCAGGTACAATTAGGGGTGGACACGGGCCGAGCCAGTTCCGGGTCGGGCTTGGGCCCAGGCAGGCTTTTTTGGGGATATTAGGCCCGGAACTGGCCCGGGTTGTACCAGGTCCGGGCCAAACCGGCCGGGGCTGATACCAGGTCCGGGCCCGGTTCTATGTAAATATTTTTTTTTGGCTTTCTAATTAACCCCCGATCCCCTCCCTCAACCCCCAAAACCCTCCCCCCCAAAACACCCAGCACAACCCAAGGAAAAGAAAAAAAATTGAACAAACAAAAAAATTGAACCGAGCCCGGCCCGAACTGCCTGGGCCGGTTCATGAAAATCATGGCCCGGAACCAGCCCGCCAGAACCGCCCAAATCGGGCTAAAGCCCGGAACCGGCCATCCGGGCCCGAGCCCGGTCCGGGCCCACACAGTAGCGGGCCTGGTCTGGTCCGGTCCGGGCCCGCACAGTAAAAAGATGGATGTCATCACGCAATTAAAATGGAGAGATTTACCAAAACGTGACTAAAACCCTATCATTTTCCTGAAATAAGATCTTTGAAATTCCATAAATATGTCTTTTTATTTGTGATTGAACGAAAATACCGCCAAAGTTTGCCGCCACAAACCGACTAAACTTGGTTGTGCAAGAGAATTAGGGAGCAGTTAATAAGGTTAACTAATTAATTAAATTAAGGGTTGAAATGTAATGTTTAGTCTTATTTAAATAAAACCAACATATGATTCTATTATTGGAAAAAATAATGTGTAGTATTTTTTAGTCCCCAATGAGCAATTTCTTCAATAAAAAAATTACACCATTCAAACAAATCATCCATTTTCACAATACATGGGAAAGCAAATAATGTGTCTAAAAACTGTGCCTCTTTTGTTCCGCCCACCAAAGGAGATGTATGACATCAGGCAAATAAAAAACTTGCATGATTCAAACATATCATCCATTTTCGTATACATGAGCAAGCAAAGAATGTGTTTAAAAGAGCAAGTCCACGTGTCCAATAAATCATCTGGGCAGTACAAAATTCTTGAAACAGAAGGGTATATGACTCTGTAAACTACCTGTCCATCTGCCATTGGATCAACTGACAGCATCTCTCGTTCATTCTTCTCACAGGGCATTTATCATTCTTTTCATCTCACTACACCTCCTAGGATCTGGCTCATCAATTGCTCTCTCTGTGAGCACATGTTTGATTCGGCACATAGACTTTCTTACCTGAATAAAAATAATAATAATAATAATAATAATAATAATAATAATAACAACAATAAATAATAACACTAATGATAAATAAATAATCATCATACAAGTGCAATTGCCAAAGTTGTGCAAGTCATTGAGCTAATCTCCATACGTGCTCTGTTTACAAGACTTTTACCTTCAGTCATTGGGTAATGAAACATTTGATAATGCATTGTCATTGTCAGAACATATGGCATTTAAATGGATGTGGCAGACTGCAAAACATTGTTTCCTTAAGGTGTGTTTGGGAGTTGGTTTTGGAGGGGAGGGGAAGGTTAATGGGGATTTATGGCCCTCCTTTTCATGTTTGGGAGTTCAAAAAATCGGAGGGGTGGTTTTGGAGGGCTTTTGTAACCCTTCAAAACCCTCCAAATGCTTGATTTTTAAGTTCCCCCAATTTGGAGGGTTTTGTATGATAATTAACAAGATGGTATTTTAAGCTAAATTAGAAATGAATATCGGTTCAATGATTTGAATTCATCATATCTCAAGTGATTTTAATTATAATTTCTTCAAAAACCTTCTCCTTCCAATTTTATTACTCCAAAATACAAAGAAGGGCTTCCTCACCCTCCCCTCCCTTTCCCCTCCAACAACATACCTCCAAAGTCTTCCCCTCCCCTTCCATCCAAACTCCCAAACATACCCTTAGGGTGTGTTTGGGAGTTGAGTTTTGGAGGGGAGGGGGAGGTTGATGGGGGTTTATAACCCTCCTTTTCATGTTTGGGAGTTTATAAAACTGGAGGGGATGGTTTTGGAGGGCTTTCATGACCCTCCAAAACCCTCTAAATGCCTAATTTTTAAGTTCTCCCAATTTGGAGGGTTTTGAAGGATAATTAATGAAATGGTAATTTAAGCTCAATTAAAAATAAATATCAGTTCAATTATTTAAATTCGTCACATCTCAAAGTAATTTTAATTATAATTCATTCAAAAACTCTCTTCTTCCAAATTTATTACTCCCAAATACAAAGAAGGGCTTCTTCACCATCCCCTCCCTTTCCCCTCCAACAACATACCTCCAAAGCCTTCCCCTCTCCTTCCCTCCGAACTCCCAAACATACCCTTAGAGTATGTTTGGGAGTTGGGTTTTGGAGAGGAGGGGAAGGTTGAGAAGGGTTTATGATCCTCCCTTTCATGTTTGGGAGTTTAAAAATATGAAGGGGTGGTTTTGGAGGGCTTTTGTAACCCTCCAAAAACCATCCAAATGCTCAATTTTTAAGTCCCCCAAATTGAGGGATTTTGAAGGATAACTAATTAAATGACAACTTTAACTCAATTTTAAATAAATATAAATTCAAGTTTTATTCAACTATTTGAATTTATCATATATGTGAAGTGATTTTAATTATAACTCATCCATAACCCCTTTTTAAATTTGTTACTCCCAAACAAGGACGGTTTCCTTCCCTTCCCCTCCTTTTCCCTTCAAACTCCCAAACATACCCTTAGGGAATGCCACCTCATATATATTCACGTGGCAGAAAAATAGCAAAGGGATGTACAATGGTCAATGGAAGAATATTATCATTGCTCAGCTTTATCCTAAAATTGCTTATACTCGACCAAAATTGCTTTAAATTTATCTTTGCGGTTTATCCTAAAATTTGACTATTCACCCCCATTGAATAGGGTGGAAAGTCAAATGTTTTAAGTCTATTTGGTAGCACTAGAATCGGCTAAATCGGCTTATATGCTGAAATTCTAACTGAAGCGGCTGAATTGACTGATAAATTAATCAGCGCGTGAAATCAGAAGTCGTGTGTTTGCTAAAAAATATCCTATGCTAATGAGCCGGAAAAAGGTACTAGACAGGCTCTAAGTAAAACATGGGATGCTAAGTCTGGCAAATTTAGCATTCGATGCATTACTACTCCAATGTTTGACTTTGCACCCATTCTGAGCTGCAAAGTCAATGCAAAAGAAATGTGGTGCAAATTCAACACAAACTCAACATAAGGGTATAAGCATGGGGTATAAATACCATACTTCCTTAAACTTGCTGTCAATTATACACAATATGCTTCCTCTACTAAAAAAATAGATCAAGGAAACATTCGAGGAAATGCTAAAGTAACACTTACCTTGGAGATACGTTCTGGATTTGGAAATCTCAAGTTTTGAGCATAAAGCATTTGACGTTGAGTCATCAACATATTCTTCTCCTTGAGAAGTACATACCATAGTTTGTGAAGATCATCCCAGGACTTGAGACGAAGCTCAGGTGCCTTCCAGCTCCGACCTGAAACATATTCATCATATATTTATCCTACACATTGTTGCAAAAAAACATGTATCCGAAAAAAAGATAAAGGTCAGTATGCGATGAAGAATAAAAGAGACAAAGACTGTATTCCTTCAGACCTTCACCATATTAAAGCTCAACATGAAACTGGGATGAAATTATAAGGCAAAAAATCAATTCATACAGTGAAATATCTAAGCTCACTGTAGGTTCATATCCTAACCACATGTGCATTAACTACAGAATATTTAGCATTGATGGAGCCATTCTTAACTTCTGGATGTAAATATGATACCAATATGCAGCCCACACCCTACCCCAACCCTCCATAAAAAACATTTGGCTCAATGACACTGGTTACCGGTAAACTTCAAAGCTACCAAGGATATAGATTTGTATTGGCAAACACTAGGACTAAAAGCTAGTAAACGTTGATCTAAGACTAAACATGCACCGGTCCTGTATGATGTGGGGTCTGAGAACAAAGTTGGGGACACCCTCACAAGAAGCAACCTTTACTTCACTCATGCCAAAAGTGGATTTAAAGCTCAGTTATCATTGGATTCACGAAAAATCCATCATTTAGTCACTCTTAGCAGTTAGCACTCACTTTAAAGCCAGAGAAGAAAATCTAGTCTGTGGAGCTTTGTCCTTGTCAAAACAATCAGTCAGCATGCACATGTTTTTCCAAAAGGCAAAAGACACTTATTTAAAATATAAAAGCATCTTTTACCATCATCACCTGTAACACCTTAATCTTAAATAGTTAGCGTCAGTAGCTTTGTCCTTATCAAAATAGTTAGCATCAGTAGCTTTGTCCTTATCAAAATAGTTAGAGTCAGTAGCTTTGTCCTTATCCCAAATCAGTCAGCATTCACTTTAAAGCCAGAGAAGAAAATCAAGTCTGCAGAGCTTTGTCCATATCAAAATAAACAATCAGTCAGTATTGACTTGATCATTCAAAAGGAAACAACATTACACCACTTATTTAAAACATATAAGCATCTATTACCATCATCACCTTAATAGATCACTATATTCATTCAAAACGGAATGGTGACAAAGTTCCTACGCCGGATGTCCTTCCTGTCTCAACCTTCTCACGAATGAACACTGATGAAATTCTTAAACCCTCATCACCATAGGTTATTTTCACTTGCATGGATGAGACAGTCGTGAATTGAGATAGTAGGTCTTTTCATGTATATATGAAGATTGATATTATATGATCTTTTATATACAGAAACCAAACCAGACGGGACTCAGTGTGTTTCATGTGAGCCGAAAATCAACATTTTTTCCTTAACATTTACATATACCAAGCTAGCTCATTTCAAACATTCAACCAGGGTATAACATTTTAGTGTTTTGGCACCACAAATTCCATCCAGTGTTATTAATAGCAGGTGGCGGATTGTGGTGCCGCCATTGACTGCCATTCTTCACAAACTTCATATCGCGGTCAACTCTATTTCCACCACCACTATCAACCACGGACCACCATGGCTGCCATTTGACAAACACTGATTCCATTGAGAGCAAAAACGGACATTTTCATGGCACACACTAAACTTTGGTTAACTATAATAAAGCACATTTGTCATTAGGAGATGGTCATAGTGTTGGGCTGTAGGCTTCGGCCCATTCAGATCTGGGAGAGTGGGAGCCAAATAAACAAAGAGCAGCAGCCTGCTCTAGTTAAATGTGCAGACAGCCCTAGTTGGGCCTGTTTCTTTGGTGGCAGTCAGGCCCAGAACCTTATTAAGTGTTTTACCCTAATTGTTTGTCTATATATATTGACTCCTGTACTTGTAAACTATGACTTGTATCATTCATCATCTCAATAAGAAAGAAAACCCTAGTTGCCCCCGTGGATTAGGTCAGTAACGCTTAGCTGAACCACGTTATATTCGTGTGCCGTTCTCGTTCTTTTCTAGTTTTTCAGATTCATGCGTGTGTGAGATCTAACCCTAACAACTGGTATCAGAGCAAGGTTAGCCACCACCACATATTCGACCACCACTGCTGCCGCCCTGCATCTTCAGCCTCCTCGTGCCGCCAACAGTGCGCTGCCTCAGAAGAATATAGCCGGCAGATTGTGAAGGACTGGGACAATGGCAGATGACGGAAAAACCAAAGTTGAGAAGTTTGATGGACAAGATATTGGATGGTGGAAGATGCAAATTGAGGATTTGCTGTGTCAGAAGGATATGGATCAAGCCTTGACAGGGAAAAGACCAGAAAAGATGAGTGATGATGAATGGGCTGCTCTAGACAGGAAAGCTTTGGCTGTTTTCAGATTTACCCTAGCCAAGAGTGTGGTGTTTAACATCTTGAAGGAGACTACTGCATGTGGTTTGATGAAGGCTTTGTCAAACATGTATGAGAAACCATCGGCATCAAACAAGGTATTTCTGTAAGACAGCTAGTAAACACCAGAATGAAAGTGCATCCGTTACCTCACACATTAATGAGTTTAATACTATCATATCCCATTTACTATCTGTTGATATTAAGTTTGAAGATGAAGTCCAAGCTTTATTCTTGTTATCCTCGTTACCAGAAAGTTGGTCAGGAACAGTCACTGCGATTAGCAGTTCAACTGGAACCTCTAAACTCACATTTGAGGGTATTCGTGACATTATCCTAGGAGAGGATATAAGAAGGAGGAGTTCTGGAGAATCTTCTAGTGCTTTGTTAAGTACTGAAGGGAGAGGTAGAAGGAAAGAGAAGGGAAATGGCAGAGGTAGATCAAAGTCTAGAAAGAGGAGCCAGTCAAAACCGAGAAAAGATATTCAATGCCGGAACTGCAAAGAAACTGGGCATTTCAGAAATCAATGCCCTAAATCTTCAGAAAGGAAGGAAGTAAATGCAGCCACTGACGATTCAGATGATGCCCTTATCTGTTGTGTTGAAAACTCAACAGAAACATGGATTATGGATTCTGGTGCATCATTCATGCTACTTTCAGCACGAAGGCGATGAAGAATCTATGGACAGGTAATTTTGGTAAAGTTCGTTTGGCTAATAACGACTCTCTTGACATCACAAGGATGGGTGACATACACTTAAAGACTTCATTGGGCACCACTTGGACATTGAAAGACGTTCGGGTCATTCCAAGCCTTAAGAAGATGCTGATTTCTATTGGGCAGTTGGATGATCAGGGATTTGATGTTACTTTTGGTGAAGGACAATGGAAAGTTGTCAAGGGGAATCTTGTAATCGCCAGAGGCAAAAAGAGGGGTACTTTATATATGGTTGAAGCTCCTGATGATGAGATGAATGTTGTGACCAGCGGGCTGAATCCATCCAGTTTGTGGCATCAACGGCTAGGCCACATGAGTGAAAAAGGAATGAAGATGCTCGTTGCAAGGGGGAAACTTCCAGATTTGAAAAAGGTGGATTCTGAGTTCTGTGAGCCTTGTGTACTTGGCAAGAAAAAGATGGTTTCTTTTGTGAAGACAGGTCAGACACCGAAAACTCATAAGCTGGAGCTAGTTCACACGGATGTGTTTGGGCCAACGCCAGTCTCATCCCTGGGAGGATCAAGCTACTATGTGACCTTCATTGATGACTCAACACGCAAGGTATGGGTCTACTTTCTTAAAAATAAGTTTGAAGTTTTCAATATTTTTAACAAGTGGAAAACTGATGTTGAATTGGAAACTAATCTGAAAGTAAAGTGCTTGAAATCGGACAATGGTGGTGAATACATTAGCACGGAGTTTATTGATCACTGTGCTGAACATGGCATTCGGATGATAAAGACGGTTCCAGGCACTCCTCAACAGAGCGGAGTGGCAGAAAGGATGAACAGAACTTTGAATGAGAGGGCCAAAAGTATGAGACTTAATGCTGGGCTTCCAAGGACGTTCTGGGCTGATGCAGTGAACACTGTCGCTTATCTTATCAACTGGGGGCCATCAATACCATTGGGTTTCAAGATACCATAGGAAGAGTGGAAAGGAGAAGCGGTAAAGTATGGGCATTTAAAGGTATTTGGATGCAGCGCTTATGATCTTATCAAAAATGGTGACAAGTTAGATGCTCAAGCCAAGAAATACACTTTCATTGGATACGGGGGAGACAACATGGGTTATCGACTGAAAGTAGAAAGGTAGTCAGAAGTAAACATGCTACATTCAACGAGGCTGAACTTTATAAAGACAGAAGCACAGAAAATTCAAAGATTCAGAAAGAGCAAGTTGAGTTTGAAAATGATGTCATCACAAACAACGAGTCTGAAGATACTCAAGACAGTGGGAGCATGAAGAATGATTCCAATACTGACGAGTCTGAGGATGATCACAAGGACTCTGTTGATAGTGAAAATTCAGAGGATGAAGGAGCACCTTCACTTGTGCAGCCGCAGCCAGTTGAAACACAATGTGTCAGAAGATCCACTAGAGTCATTAAACCTCCAAAAAAATCATTCCTTCAGTCAATTATCTCCTTTTGACTGAAAATGGGGAACCAAAAAGTTACTTCAAAGCAGTACAGCAGAATGATTCGTTTCAGTGGGAGCAGGCTATGAAAGAAGAAATGGATGCCTTACACAAGAACAAGACATGGGTTCTTACTAAGCTTCCACCAGGTAAGAAGGCACTTTAAAATAAATGGGTATTCAGAATCAAAGATGAACATGATGGGTCAAAACGTTACAAAGCCCGTTTAGTGGTCAAAGGTTTTTAGCAGAAAAAGGGAGTGGATTATAATGAGATTTTTTCTCCGGTGGTAACTGGTAAGAATGACCACCATCAGATTGGTTCTAAGTATTGTAGCTGCAGAGGGCTTACATCTACATGGCACAACCTGAAGGATTTCAGGTTGATGGTAAAGAAAATCTGGTCTGCAAACTAAAACGGAGCTTATATGTTCTAAAACAAGCACCGAGGCAGTGGTATCTGAAGTTTGATAACTTCATGATAAGGACAGGGTACAGAAGATGTGAGATGGACCATTGTTGTTACGTGAAGAGGTTCAAGAGTTCATATATCATTCTACTTCTCTATGTAGATGATATGTTGATAGCTAGTGCAAATATGAAAGAGATCAGCAGGTTAAAGAAACAAATTTCTCAAGAATTTGAAATGAAAGATTTGGGTCCAGCCAAACAAATTCTAGGGATGAGCATAGTCAGAAACAAGGAGAATGGTTCTTTAACACTATCCCAGGAGAAGTACATTGGGAAAGTGTTGGAGAAATTCAAAATGAATGGTGAGAAGATTAAACCAAGAAACACGCCTTTGGGAAGTCACTTCAAGCTTACCAAAGACCAGTCTCCGAGAACAGACGAAGAGAAAGCAAAATTGGGTAAAGTTCCTTTTGCATCTGCCGTTGGTAGCCTCATGTATGCTATGGTGTGCACGAGACCAGCTATTGCTCATGCAGTCGGTTGTTAGTCGCTTCATGTCAAAACCGGAGAGGGAACATTGGGAAGCAGTTAGATGGATACTTAGGTATTTGAAGGGTACTACAAAGATGGGGTTATGTTTCAGAGGTAAAGACGTGATTTTGAGAGGGTATCCTGATGCTGATTTGGGTGGATGCAAAGAGACATTTAAAAGCACTACGGGGTACATTTTCACAGTGGGAGGAACTGCAGTTAGTTGGATGTCCAAACTTCAGAAAAGTGTAGCTCTTTCAACAACCGAAGCAGAGTACATGGCAGTTGCTGAAGCCAGTAAAGAGTTGGTTTGGTTGAGGAACTTCCTTGACGAGTTAGACAAAAAGCAAGCAGATTACTCGTTACACTGTGATAATGAGAGTGCAGTGAAACTTGCAAAGAATTCGGTCTATCATGGGAAAACAAAGCATATTGGGATGAGATATCACTTTGTCAGAGGGTTGATCACGGGAGGAGCGATGAACTTGAAGAACATCTCAGGTGCAAAGAATCCAGCAGATATGTTCACTAAATCTGTGACGCTGGACAAGCTGAAGTTCTGTGTAACTTTAGCTGGCCTTCAAGAATAATGTTGAGAAGGCAGGTGGCAACTAGGAGGAGCTAAACACAGATGAAGTTTACAGAAGTACAGAGGAGTGGAGTGCAGTTGGTCGTGTTTTGAAGCCTCCAAGTGGGAGATTGTTGGGCTGTAGGCTTCGGCCCATTCAGATCTGGGAGCCAAATAAACAAAGAGCAGCAGCCTGCTCTAGTTAAATGTGCAGGCAGCCCTAGTTGGGCCTGTTTCTTTGGTGGCAGTCAGGCCCAGAACCTTATTAAGTGTTTTACCCTAATTGTTTGTCTATGTATATTGACTCCTGTACTTGTAAACTATGACTTGTATCATTCATCATCTCAATAAGAAAGAAAATCCTAGTTGCCCCCGTGGATTAGGTCAGTAACACTTACTGGCTGAACCACGTTATTTTCGTGTGCCGTTCTTCTCGTTCTTTTCTAGTTTTTCAGATTCGTGTGTGTGTGAGATCTAACCCTAACACATAGCAGACGGTAATAAGGAAGTTGAATTCAGATTAACGAAAATATTGTTTTCCGATTCTTTTATATCAGTATCAGGTCCATGCTTGTCACGGCGTCGCCTAGGCGCCGACTAGGCGTCCAGGCGCTGGAGAGTGCTCGCCAGGTAAGCTCGCCTCGCCGGAAGAAGAATAGTCAAGGTTGGCGTCGTCCAGGCATGAAGTTGGCGACAAGTCGCCGCGTACTTTTGCCCAGTCGAAAAGCCGTCCGCGTTCCGCAGGCCCTAAAATGAGTAAATTAAGGTTTAATTTTTTAGTGAACTCATTTAATTAAGGATTTAGGCTTTTAATTAGAAACAAAGCCCAAATCTAACTTAAGAAGCAGAGTCGTAGAGAACAACTCACAGGACCAGACGAACCGTAGAACTTCAGGAAGCAGAAGAAGTTGTCGGTCTCTCCAGTCGCCATCCCCGGTCCGTCGTTGAAGGCTTGAAGCAGACGACCAGAAATAGGTCCACCAATCTCTTATTGGCTTCTTGTGTAGCGGTGTAGTGGATTTAGTTTTTTAATATTTTAATTAATTAAGTGGTATCAATATATGCGTATATATATACTACAATACTTCTATACTGCGTATTATATAAAACGGTGAACATGGTGATATAGACTATTAAACCATTAATTTATTTTACCGGTGATATCTTGATGTGCTCGTATTAGACTATTAGTTTAATAATAAACTATAAAACCATTCATTTATTATTTATTATTATATGCTATATAATAAAGTGCAGAACTGGTGAATGGTGATATATACTGATATGCTCGTATTAGTTTTATAATAAACTATTAAACCATTAATGTATTATATATTATACATAATATATAATCATATATATAATTATATATAATATATTTTATATTATACATATATAGGCGACTATCCGCCTAATTGTCGCCTAGGTGGGCACCTTATCGCCTAGGCAATATGGCGGTCGACTGGCGCCGCGACTCGACTTACCGCCGTGACAAGTATGATCAGGTCACAAACCACAATATCACAGTTTATCTAATAACATGCACGAAATGCCAGAATGACGCCGACCACATAGTATGTACGAATTGCATTATCAGTTAGAAACTACCTCAACTGCTTTCAAATTGATCCTTTTAACCCAAAAACCAAATGTACTTTCTAGGTAATTACAGAAAGAAAACAACTACAGATATAGTCATGGAACCGGTGTTAATATCAGAAAGAAAAATGTATCCAAAACTTACCATACACAACAGGTTTATCATCCTCCACACTTCTATCAGCTTCAAAGAACTGCTCAAGAGGGTTATGTATTGCTCTTCTAGCTGAAGTACCAGCAGCCCCAGTAGACTCGCATTTGGCAGCAGCTAAGAATGTCCTCCCAAAGAGTCTAGCCGCAAGCATAGTTGCAAAAATAGGTTATATGACCAAGGAAGTGAAAACGAAGTCTGAAAGAAGATAAATATGTATCAGCAAGGTAAGTAGAATGTCAATGAAGTATGTCGTCGAACACAAGAAATGCAAAGTCATAACCCACATCTGGAGGATATGATCAGTCTGATCTCTATGAAACAGTGTGGAGCGGAAAGTGTTGCTATCAACGAAGAGTTGAGGGTAGAACGAAAAAATGTGGTCATATTTTTTAGAACGCAAGAAGAGCTGTTCGTGAAGAGTTCTATTTCTTTGAGTATGTAAATAAATTGAAACACTATAAAAATAAAGGTAGTCATTAATAAAATACCTTTCATTTGAAAAGAGATTCTTCTAACATATTTAGAGACAAAGTCATCTACCACACTTGCAATTTCAATCTCTTGGAGGGTTTCAAATACTACATTTCGGTGAAATCATGAAATAATTATAATTTATAAAACCTAAAGTTAGTACTTTGTATTTACTTAATAACATACTTATATCAATTTCTTAAATCTTAATTGAATAATTGTTAAACACACTTGATCTCAATTCAATTACTTAATAAGTAATAAATTACTGCAATAAATAAACAAATAACAACAAGGCAAGTAGCATTTAGGCAACAGACTAAAATCAAAGAATCAAATCGAAGAATCAAAGAATCGGCCTTGTTTGCAAACAAAGAATAAAAAAAATCAGAAAAGTATAGTGCCTAGTTGCTTACCTACAAGTGCGGGTAGCGGCCTAACGTGGTCAGTGGACTGCCGGACTGGTAAGGCAGGGCGTCGTGCGGACTGCGGATGGACGGTGCGGTCGTAGTCCTGGAAGATGGAGGCGGCGTGTCTCTGCGTGGTGGCAGGATGGAGCCTGGCGGTGGCTGGCGGCGGTCGTCGATTCGTCGGCGCTTTGAGGCTTCAGCTTTCTCTTTGTTCGTTCTGTATTTCCTTCGGTGTTCCGCAGCCTTCGTTCGTTCTATTTTCTTCGCAGTTCAGCTTTCTCTTTGTTGAGTAATACTATTATTAATATTTTTTGGGCCTTCTAAAATTTTAGGCCTTGTGCGAATGGGCTGTATGTACCTGCTTTGGGCCGGCCCTAAGTCTAAATGATGTGCTTCATATACTTAAGATTCAGACTAATTTATTTTGTGTTTCTTTTTTTGGAAAAAGTTGGGGTTAAAGGTTTTTTGATTGTGATAAATTTGTTATGACTATAAATGATGTTTTTGTGGGAAAAGTCTATTGTAAGAATAACTTTTTTGTGCTTAGTGTTTCTTAATTATTGCATAATGATGTTTCTGCTTATCCGATTGATTCTTATTATGTGTGGTGTGCTAGCTAGATTAGGAAATGTTAGTAATTCTTATATTAATTTGCTAAATGGTCTTGGTTTGATTTTTAGTAAAAATAAGTGAAAATTCCTTAAATAGTACGGTTCATTAATAGGACTACTAATACTTTATTCTCAAAATATGACTAATTCACTTCTATTTTGGGAAGTTTTAATCAAGTTATTCTTTTAATAAGACTAAATAAGTCATATTTGGGGAATAAAATATACTTAGTCCTACTTGCTTAGCTTTGTATATACTAGATTCTCACCCGTGCGATGCACGGGATAAAAGTTAAGTAATGCTATGTACTAATTAATATTACATGATTTGTGAGCATTATTAATTATGTGAAAACAAAAGGAAAGAGATAATTGTAATACACAATGTAAAATTATAATAAGAAAAAGATATCTAGAACTCATAATTGGTATGAACTATGTTTAAGCATAAAAAAGATTAAATGCCTCACACAAAAAAAGAATAAATAAATATCAGAATTAGTTTGTCAATGACTACTTATTTTGAATTACTTTTTTATAAGTGACACCGATAGTGTAGTTGATTTGTTCACTACTTGACTGCAAATGACCAGTTTTGAAACTCTTACATTTCGCTCACAAATTTCCGTTCAATATAAAAATGATATATGAATTCCTCAATATATGTTTGAAATACAGACAAAGTTCACAAATAAGATTATATGTGTCTTTTTTCTTAAATAGAACTATTTAGTCTTGTTAAAAGAATAAATTCACCACTACACAAAATAAGAGTCAATGAATCATATTTGATAATAAATGATGTAATATTTATCAACATCAATGATAATCATAATAATAATATAATAACAAAAATATTATAATAAAAGGTTATAAACATATAAAACTAATACTAATTGTTGAGGTTTATTCCATCAACCCGCAGGCCCAACACGTAACCTGAGGGTTTCGAATGGGTGATGGATAAATGAGGTGAAGAGACAAGCAGGAAGTGGGCCAAACAACTGTATTCACTTACTCGAACTATTACAAGCCGAAGGGCCGAACGTACTATGATATGATATGAACTGCTATTACTGTTATAATGCTAGAATGTCAAATTGTGAACCTTTTACCATGAAATAAATGCGACTATTTATACTACCCAGGGGTAGTTGGGAGCGCTGACGTGGTTGGTTGTGGGCGACATGATCCCAACCACTAAATCTTCTGCATTCAATGTGTTTCTCGTCAGGATCTTGGTTTCCCGCCACGGGGTGGGGACGTTCATCCCTAAGGAGTTGAGCCCAATCTTCTGGTGGGAGTCTGATCCCCTGGGGTAAGAGCTATAGGATGAACGTCCTCTGATCCTTGGGCCTTGATACAAGCTGATGATAGACTATGTACGTCCCCTGGCCCTTGGGCCTTGATACAGGCTGATGATGGACTATGTACGTCCCCTGGCCCTTGGGCCTTAATACAGGCTGATGATGGACTACATACGTCCCCTGGCCCTTGGGCCTTGATACAGGCTGATGATGGACTGCGTACGTCTCCTGGCCGTTTGGGCCTTGATACAAGCTGATGATGGACTATGTACGTCCCCTGACCCTTGGGCCTTGATACAGGCTCATGATGGACTACGTACGTCCCCTGGCCATTTGGGCCTTGATACAGGCTGGTGCTGGACTACGTACGTCCCCTGGTCCTTGGTGCTCGACCTTCTTCTTGGGCCTCCAGCAGGATGCTCATAGGTGATCCTTAAGGGTTGATGGGTTGGCCCTTATTGGGCCATTAACCCAACACAAGTCCCCCACTTCTGATGTTCCAAGCGTCCGCGGGACATAAAGAAGTAATTGATTTCTGCCGTACTGCTTTGAACTGCTGCCCTCCTCCCCCGATGTGACGGTTGCTTCCCCGCCGTTGTTCACGGGGCTATAGGTGGCAGTTATGCTAGCCGGTTCAACTTCCGATGCAAAAAGTAGTCATTCCGCGCCTGCTCGTCTCCACATGACACGTGTCCCTGGATACGCTCCTCGCCACGTGTCATATGTGGGTTGGCCATTGAAGCGGCGTACCCCCTTATACATGTCGGGATTGCTGGCAAGACTTGGGGTTTCCCATCTTCTGCTTCTCTCCCCAAACCCCAAGCGCTTCCCAGCAAGTGTACCCGCTTCCCGCGTTCGTCCCTGCTTCCAAGCTTCGAAAGGTAACTCCTTGACTTTTTCCCCTCTTCTTTCCCCTTGCTACCTTTCCCCATGTCCTGTTCCATGGAAATCTCCTCCGACTCGGATACCGGTTCTGGTTCTTCCACTGGTTCTTCTACCGTTTCCTCTTCTGTGGCGAGTTCTAGGTCCCATTCTTGAGAGGGGACAAGCAGTTCTGGCCATTCCAGTGCCCCCACGGTGGTGGGCCGCGTGGCGGCGGATGAGGCCGTGCCCTCGAGTGTAGGGGGTGTTGGTATGGATGTCGTTCCTGAGAACGTTGTAGCGGTGGCCATGCAATCTGCCGTGGAGGCGGAACATTCTGCCGATTATGACTCCGGTGAAGAGGCCGAAGAAGGGGACGACCTCCAAGTTTTCAAGCTTGGCTTTCCTATGGACCAACACCGACATCTCGTGCTCATCCCCAATGTTGTCGTGATCGATCAGGTCTTCTCTGGGAGGGCCTTGAAGGAGCTGCAAACTCTCCTCCCTCCACTGTTTCATTACAGTCTCCGAGGCACGGATAACCTCTTCAAAAGACGTCCGGGAATGGTGATGGTGCACATGGACTCCATAAAAGCCGGACTGCGTTTCCCACTCCATTCGTTCTATTTTGACTTTTTCAGTTGCTACAGTGTTGTTCCGGCTCAGTTTATGCCGAACTCCTACCGCCTCATCTCCACCTTCATTGTTCGTTGCAAGTCGCAAGGACTCACCCCCAATTTGGACCACTTCCATTATTTCTTTCAAATCGCCCCCCAAAATGCCGATGGGTTTCTGAGCGTGGCCGCTCGTCCCAAAAGGAAGTTGTTTGAGGGCGCCCCCATTTCCATCCATGACTGGAAGAACCATTTTTTCTTCATTCGGTATTCGGACGAGCGGCTTCCTGTGAGATGGAATGGGTATCCCCTGAAGATTAAGCCGCCAGAGCTGACCCAAGGATTGGAAAACGCCGTAGATAAGCTAAAGTTGGGCGGCGTTAAAGTGCTAAAGGATTTCCTGACCATTCAGGCACTCTCCGATGCCGAGATAGGTACCACCCGTGATCCCTGGATTAGCATTCTCTTGTGTTCATCTTGTGGGCCCGGGCGGTCCATTCCCTGAGGTGAGTGCCTTTGAAATTTGCACCGCCCGGTTCTAATACTTTTGTTTCTTTGTTTCAGGTCTTCCTCCCACTCAAGACCAAATGGATCGTGAAGCCATGAAAGCTCGTCGTGAGGCCAAGGCCAATACGCGACGAGCGGCGCTGGCGAAGGCCCGCGGGGCCACTCAGTCTTCCGAAGCTAACTCTTCCACCGCATCCCAGGCGGATAAGCGTGTTGCAGATGCCGAGAGGCTTCTGATGGCCGAGGTGACCGGGCAGAATTCTGAGGCCCGGCACGTTCAAGATAATCGGGTTTTGAACGTGGATCTGATCGGCGTTGTTGTCCTTGCTGGTGGGGAAAAGGATAAAGAGAATAAGACAAAGAGGCAGAGCGTCGAGCCCTCCGGTCCCAAACCTACTGACACCGTGGTGCCCGCCACTGTCCGTCCGATTTCCGAGATTTGGAAGGACATGGCCCTTTAGGCCGGACTGGAGCTGCCGGACCGTTCTTCCGGCGATTCCGTTGATCATGCCCTGCTCCTGAACCTTGAGGTACGTTCCTATCATTTCCCTCTTGCCACTTGATCCGTTATCTGTCCCCTCCTGACTCCTTATTTTTTCCTTGTAGGCTGGGCTCAAACTGTTGCAGGCAAGGGCCACTCGGGAGAAGGATGTCGCCGAGCTCAAAAGGAAAGCCGATGTGGCTTTGAAGAAAGAGCGGGAGGGCGTGCAGCTGCGAGAATGTAACACCATCCCCAAGTATATTTACTTTTAGTAAATCATGTAACAAATCTTGAAGAACAATTTATGAATTCACGAGGTTGTAAATTTTTATTAACTCTTTTGCGCGAATAGTAAATTGCACGTGGGGCCCACATCGGATGCGGGGACCACCCGATAATTCTGGGACCACATATTATATTCATCTTGGTCTAGATAATATGTATATGGTGGTATATATTTTAGTTGGGCCACAGAAAGGGCATAGGGTTGATCCGTCGGTCAAACGAGGTCCGATTATCGGTATTGTTAATTTATCAGATAACAGCCCGAAACGGATTTCGGAGACTTCTAAATTGAAGATGAGGAATGTTTATTCATTCTAAAAGTCCATAATGATGGGAAACACTTAATATATTTTATTTGACCCGATAAAATAAAATATAATTAAAACAGTCCGAAAAATACAACTTTCGAGGCCAATTGTACAAATCGGGACACAAAGAGATGACCTCCCACATGAGTGGGGGCCACACCACGTTTTTGTGTTCTCAATGAGACATAAGGGGGGCTGGAATGACAAAGGAAGGAGTGGAGGAGAGTCATTTAGCATCTAAAGTACCAAAGAGGACCCTCACCCCCATTTATTGGTCATTTGAGACAAAGGTACACATTCTC